GCCTCCATTTGTTTCAAAAATAAGCTCGGAAAATTGCCCACGGACTTAAGATCTTTTCCAAGAATAAAAAATAGGAGCACATTTTCAAGCTAAATAGCGGCTACTGTGTCTATCAACATTGACATACACTTGCACGGCGCAGAATAAAACACTTACAAACAGCTTACGGTCAAACTTTAAGTTGAGATGGATTGTTCGCTTTGCCATGACCACAGAAAAACACTCCCCCATAGTGGATCAACTTTCATGAAAATACCACCAGAGAGGAACTTAGTTGCGAAAGATTGGATTAAATATACACCAGTGGATAATACTGAGTCGAAGAGGCTTCAAAGTAGACATTTTGCAGCTAAAAAAATAGTTGGTACGAACTGTGTTGAACGACTGCAGCTTCGAAAATCATACATGTTTAATGGTGATCCAAATTCAATCTAATCTTTCATACCCTGAGGTCCAAACACGACTGTCATCCGCTAAGCATGATTGGTGAGCTCCTCAGGCAACCAGCTTTACTTAAAAAAGAAAATCATATAAATATAATACAGATTTATCAACTTATGCAAATATGCCTCATTAATACGCAAATTATCATTATTATTCTGCTCATTACAGGTTTTCCTTTCGTGCAACGAAATTTTCGAAATTCAAAGGCAACTCACTATAGTTATTATCCATACATGTGTTTAAGTCGATGTGAAAGAATGACAAAACAATAATAAAGTCGACCCCTCCACAAAGCAAGGAAACAAAACGGCAACCAAAGAGGTTCCATCTCTCCCTAAGTTGAATGCTATCATATATATTACTGATGAATACAACAGGGAATCTTCCTTTCAGATATTAATAAGTGTGTTGAGGGATCATACAGCTGCAGTGTTGACGCTGTGTGTAACAATAGCAATGGATCGTACAAATGTACGTGTAAACAACAATACTATGGAGATGGATTGACGTGCGAAGGTATAATATTCAAAGTATGAATGATATTAAAACATAGCTCGTACGCTGATCTTATCAGATCCAATTGAGCCAGCGTGGAGTTTATCAATCAAAACTGTCTCTATAACCAGGAATGAGAGTTCTGTATGAATAACATCCCGAGATTTTGACTAGTGAATCATTCACTTTGTTTTAAGTAATAAGTTAATTAATAATTTTAGTAAACTTATTAAGATAGCTTCTCAAGCAACCAGCTCTACTCCCAATTGCAATCAAATAGGTGACATTTGCTGAGTAACCGCTCTTTGTCAGTTTTGAACTAATTGTACTTATCCTGCTCCGTATGCACATCAAGGCATCTACATCATCAGACTAGGGTGTGTGTATATACAAACATAGCTCAAAAATATACTTAATACATTTTCAATTTTGTACTTCACCTCATTACAGGTCCTTTCCTTCATTCGTGTAAAGAAATTTACAAAAGTAAAAGGTAAATCAAATTTGTTCACTCATTTAAGCCTAAGGTTAGGGCTAGGTTTGAAAACCCTGGACAATGATATAATATTGCATCTGTTTTTCCAAAAAAAAAGATCATTTTTGTCTTGCAGCATCTTTCGCTGACGTTAAGAAGAAAATATTGCCGATACAGAACAAAGAGGCCATGTTATATGTTTCGTTTGAATCATTTAGGACAGCCATGATGTATTTTCTCGTTAGCTAGATGAATCTGTCAAAGTTCCCTCCACGAGCCCTTTTTCCTATTTTGCCAATTTATTCATCATTTTACAGATATCAGGTTACCCACAGCTATAATTAACCTTTGCTCTGTAATAAGTATACTTTGCTATATGAAAAAATTACAAACATAAATCATAACTCGGGCCAGAAAAAGCCGCACAGCCCAGCACGCATCGAGTTTATTAAAAAAAAAAAAAAAGGAAGAAAAACTTGAGAAAAAACCACAGCTTGGTTCGTGCACCATGATCTCCAGCCAATTATATTCCCATCCGGTCCTATCAACCAGTTCATAGGAACACACTTATTACTCTCTGTAATCAAAAGTAAATCAATAAATATACGAAACAAATAACTAACAAGTACAAGAAAAAAACTGCTTTACTTCAGGTCACAGGAGAACAGAGCTTATCAACTTCTAGTGGATCATGGGAAGGTCAACGTTTACTGTCACATGACTGATGACCTTGAGGGCTGCGGAGGCTGAGGATGGACCATGGTTATGAAAATGGACGACAACAAGGTATCTTGTCTCTCGTCACTATTACCCGTGAGTCAAGGGAAAATTTGACATGTGACTTCTTGATAAAAGGAGATATCTTCACTATGTGCTACATGTGGGGAAATGACTATCTAATGTAGTCATCATGCTCANAAAAAAACTAATATTTTTGCGGTTTTCAATTTTTTGTCTTTTTGGCTTCAGAGCGCTTGCGTTCAAAACTTCTCCAAGAATAACGCCACTTGTCAAAGCGGTTTTACCGACAAAGGATATCTCCGTTTGTGTACTGCTGCATTCAAAGGTCAAAACTGTGACGAGGGTAAACTTAGTCAAATAGCTGGTCAAAAGTTACAAATCGGTACAAGCGACTGTGGGTCTGTTTGTTTGTTTGTTTGTTTATTTATACCCCTTGCAAAAAATCTGAATTACAGGTATAGTCAGCAAATTGTATACATGGAAGTAAGCTTACCAAATACAATAATAAATCATAGGTTTTTATACATATTGCTTTAAATAAGTGGCAAACTTGTTCGTTACAAACTTTCCGAACCAAACGCCTCCCGGTTAGCTCAATGGATACAGCGCTGGACTGTTGTGCGGGAGGTCGAAGGTTCGAGTCCCAGCTAGACCAACACTCAGGGTCTTAAAATAATTGAGAAGAATTTGCTGCCTTTCTATAAAATCAAGAAATGGTTAGATATTCTGGTCTTCTCGGATAGGGACGAATAAATGGAGGTCCCGTCTCCTGCAGGGTTGGGGTAGGAGACGTTAATTTCCCACACAGGAGATTACTGTGTGATGGATGACCTCCCCTGGGGTGGAATGGGTGGGTTTATTGGGCCCGCAGTAATTGCGCAAGCTGTTCGGTGTCCCTGTCGGTTGGTGAAGCTAAATAAACCTAAATAAAAATAAATCTAAATCTAAATCTTCCATAACGGTCAGTTTTTGTGCTTTTCACATAACTAGTAGAAGAAGACCTGAGATTGTACTTGTTACTTGATTGAGCGAGGCGGCTTTTGACATTATTGAAAAAAGGACTTGACCCTGTCAGGGTACGTACAAGCTTCTTACAAGCTTCTTCGGGCCTATCCGCAAGCGTGGCGATCCGAGACGCAGCTAACGCATCTGCATATGCAAGGTTAGGAAAAACAATGGCAAGTGCGCGTTTCTGGACCATAATATAAACGATGGCCTCCATTTGTTTCAAAAATAAGCTCGGAAAATTGCCCACGGACTTAAGATCTTTTCCAAGAATAAAAAATAGGAGCACATTTTCAAGCTAAATAGCGGCTACTGTGTCTATCAACATTGACATACACTTGCACGGCGCAGACTAAAACACTTACAAACAGCTTACGGTCAAACTTTAAGTTGAGATGGATTGTTCGCTTTGCCATGACCACAGAAAAACACTCCCCCATAGTGGATCAACTTTCATAAAAATATCACCAGAGAGGAACTTAGTTGCGAAAGATTGGATTAAATATACACCAGTGGATAATACTGAGTCGAAGAGGCTTCAAAGTAGACATTTTGCAGCTAAAAAAATAGTTGGTACGAACTGTGTTGAACGACTGCAGCTTCGAAAATCATACATGTTTAATGGTGATCCAAATTCAATCTAATCTTTCATACCCTGAGGTCCAAACACGACTGTCATCCGCTAAGCATGATTGGTGAGCTCCTCAGGCAACCAGCTTTACTTAAAAAAGAAAATCATATAAATATAATACAGATTTATCAACTTATGCAAATATGCCTCATTAATACGCAAATTATCATTATTATTCTGCTCATTACAGGTTTTCCTTTCGTGCAACGAAATTTTCGAAATTCAAAGGCAACTCACTA